TGGGGAGCGTCGAAGAAATTTTCCCAAGGAAACGGTTTTGAGAGGAGGGATCGAGGGGATAGGGCAGGGTCAGGGTTTTTCTCCGATTCCCAATCTCGCGCCGACGGGTCTGATAATTGGGGGGCGAATAAAGCTTTTGTCCCCTCCGATGGTGGTCGCAGGGGGTTTGAGAGGAGAGGGGGGTTCGAATCAATCGGCGGTGGTGCTGATTCAGATATCTGGACAAGGAAGAAGGAAGACGAATCGCGGAAATTTGGCTCGGATTCAGAGGGTTGGGGGAGAAAGAGGGAGGAAGGAAGCCTCAACAATGGAAGACCAAGGCTGAATTTGAAGCCAAGGACCATTCCTCTAGGTGAAGGGCAGATGAATGGGAACGGTAGTCCAGGGAAACCAAAAGGTTCCAACCCATTTGGGGAAGCTAGGCCAAGAGAAGAGGTTCTGAAGGAGAAAGGGCAGGATTGGAAGGAGATTGAGCAAAAGCTCGAGTCTATGAAGATGAAGGATGTCGGGAAGAAGAGCTTTGGGAGCAGCAATGGACGAACTTCACCTGAAGACATCACAGAAAGGAGTTGGAGGAAGCTTGAAGAGAACGATTCCAGGTCTTTGAAATAGAATTTCCTTGTTGAATCCTCCTGCATTGAATTTTTTTCTAGCCAAAACTCGATTTTTATCTAACATTCATATTAGCTTGTAGTATAAATGCTGCTGCCTTTCAGTGTCTGATGCCCTTTTACTATGAAGAATTCGAAGATGAGATTTCTTTGATGGAACTTTGAAAAAAAATCTCTTTTTTGATACTTTTTTTTGCCTCTTAATGTATGATATAATCTTTTTGAATCCTAATACCTTCATCTATCAATTGCAGTGCTGAGAAACGGGATGGACGCGGTGAAGAAGAATGTAGCAATGGAGAATGTAATGAAGATGCGGAACCCCTTCAGGAGGAGAAATAATGCTGCACTTCTTCTGCAGAAAGAGTTTTGACATACCAAATGGCTATATGAGGAGAAATCACCACACTTTCTTTGTACCCTTTTTTTTTTCTTCTGGCTAATAAGCTGTATGTTTCATTATGCCATAATTTATTTCATGTAAACTGAAAGTCTGAAGCAATTTTTGGTAGAACCACTACTACTACTACTACAAGTAGAAACATTTATCTTAATGAGTGCAGTTTTTTTTGTTTTACTGAGTGTGCAATTGATTGATTCATTTGTTACTTTCATGAACATGAATAAAAATGGTCCTTCACAAGCTCTGTTCTTTATGCTGTTAGAATCAATTTATTATCACTGAAGCTTATTCATATGCTGTGTGTGAAATAAACTAGTAATCCCCAGCACCTTTTTGGGTGAGCCTTCTTGCATCTTACAATTTTGAATTGAATAATGCTAAGGTGCCACCACATGGGAGGTGTTATTATGGGTCGCACAGACAAACAAACACTGACGATAAGCGTCTGTGTTTGTTTATGCGAAGCATGGGTACACCACGGTAGTACTGATGTGGTGACACGCTTTTGAATTAGCTTGTTCAACCATGGTTACGATCGTGACAAGTGTACACTAGTAATAATTGCATATGCCCTCATAGTTTTTTAACAGAAGCTGGAAATTTATGAGGAAAGTGTACACATAGAGAGCGGCTGTGTAAATGAGTTTCCGTACACATGACAGTAGGCTCACAAATAAATGCAATTGTAGACAGTTGATGGTTGTAACACTACTGCCCATACCTATTCATAATAAATTCTTCAACTATTCCTTGGGCTTATTATATGTTCACACTCTGGGTTTGAACTTTACAGCTTCTGCTATTCCAATTGCTTTATTTAAGTCCCCCCCCAACCCATAACTTTCCTCTAACTCTGGACCATCTTGCCCTTCATGGATTCGTCTTTGAAGCTTTCCCTTGCTGTGTTTCTGGTTGCTGCTGCTACCATTGCTACGACGGCACATGGGCTAACCGTCATCTCTGGCACTGTCTTCTGCGACCAATGTAAAGATGGCCAGATTTCTCTTTTTGATTATCCTGTTTCCGGTAATGATTTGAAGAGAGAGTCTTTAACTAGTGTTTGTCTTCTTGGTTCTTTTTTATTATTAAAAGAAAGATATTGTTTGCTTCTTGGTCATGACCTGGAAATTTGTTGTGCAGGAATTAAAGTTGCAATGGCGTGTCCTGATGGTAACGGGCAATGGGCGATAAGGGGAGAGGAAACCACGAATTGGATGGGAGGTTATTACATGAGACTTGATGGAACCTCAGATTTGAGCAATTGTTTTGCCCAGGTTTCAGCATCGCCAGGAGCCTGCGGGGCGGCGAGTGGGCCACCCAGGCCTCTAAAGCTGATGTTCAACATGTTCGGCATGGTAACGTATGCGGTTGACGCCTTGATTTCCCAGCCTGCACAGCCCATGTCTTTCTGTCCATCTTCTGCGCCCGTGGCTCATCCACCTCCATCTTACCAACCCCCTGCAGTGCCTACCTTCCTCCCCCCTCCATCTCCACCCCCTGCATTGCCAACATTACTCCCGCCTCCATCTGCGCCCCGTGCATTGCCAACCTTACCCCCAATGCCTCCAACCCCATTTCTAGAAGCTTCTGCCTGTCCGTACGGGTAAGTTGATATAATCACCATTTGACATTGTGTGGAAAAATGGAAGTTAAATCTTGATTCTTGATGTGCATTTACTTTGCAGGAAATGGATCATGCCGGAGCACAGGTGCTACTGGAAGGTTGTGAGTCCCGACACGAAAGTGGGACTTGTGTTCGGGCTACTAGCAGCAAGGAAATACGGGACGGACATGACACTGTGGGAAGGGATGAACGGAAGAGGGGAGGCGTACAAGACATTGCTGAGGGAAGGGACAACTGCACTTCTCAACTCCTACAATTCCTTGCAGTTCCCTTACCACCCTCTGGGAGTCGTGGCGCGCATGAATTGGGTGTTGGCCACGGGCTCCACTCCGCAAGTCCTCCACACGGCTCTGAGTTTCATGAGGGCAAACTATGGGTATGGCCAATCTGCTGCAGCTACCTGCAGATTCACTTCTTGCACCACCAAGTCATGAATTGCTGCTACATATATATATTACTCTCTTGATTAATTGGTAATATGCCCATATTTGTTGTTACTACTATTGTTATTACATCACTACATCTATGTAAGGTTCTGACTCCTGTTGTTGTTCTTCGAGAATTCATGTGGTGTTGCTCTATATATATTGTTGCATTTGCTCATATGCCATATTGGTGTTTCATAATGAAAGGCTTTCATTTTTGTTCTTGATTGATCAGTTCATGAATCCAAATGCTTGGAACTTTTGGAAGGAGGTCCCTTTTAACTATTTCTTGGGCCTTGTGGTTTGTGCTGAATAATTTAAAAACTTGACAAGTTCAAATCATTTTGGGTTTATATATTCCATTTTTACTTTAAGGTGTTGCTACTGTGAGGGTAATTTAGAGGTCACAGGATGCGACTTGGTAATGCTCATCAAGTCACCTGCTTATCTTTACTTTTACTGCATCAGGTTTACTATTTATGTGATCGAACAATGGTTTACTAGTTACTCCATTAATTGTTTATTAATCATTTGTTAAGGAGTCCATACAGTAGTAGTTATTAGGGTCGGTTTTGGAACTAGTTAGAAAAAACTGAAAAGAGTTAAATTAAGTTAAAAAAATTCAAGTGTTAAAAAGTCACTCAATTACCATTCAAATAAAAATGTAAGAAAAGTAGAAAACTCTAGTTTTGGATAAAAGAGAACTCATCTATCCTTGTGTGTATTTGAGATGATATGTTATAAATTTGAAAATAAAAGGTTATTCTATATTTACCATATATATGTGCCTTTTTAAAGTCGTTTTTGAAAAAAAATTGGAAGAAATTAGAAGAAACTTAAAGAAGTTAGAAATTAATTTTTCAATCAAAAAGAACAAGGCCTAAGCGAAACTCGTCATGTTTTATTATAAAATACTCCTTCCATCCCTAAAATGAGCTTTAATAATAATACTACGTAATAATAGTAGTAGTAGTAGTAGTAGTAGTAGTAGTAGTAGTAGTAGTAATAATAATAATAATAATAATAATAATTTGATATGTAATACTCCCTCCGTCCCAAAAAGTTTGTTACGTTTAGAAAAAACTGCGTCCCGTAAAGTCCGTTACATTTCTATTAAAAACCTACTTCTACCCCTTAGTTTTTCATACCCTATCTATCACACCATACCTTTTTTCTAATAATCTACTCATCACATCCTACTTTTACTCATCACATCAAGGGTATTTTTGGAAAGTCAATACCAAAATATTCATTACTTAATTTTTCAAAAAGTCAAACCGTCCAATTTTTTTTGGGACGGAGGGAGTAATAATTATAAATAATACTTCCTCCATCCCAGAATATTTATGTATTTTTAACTTTTTTCAATAGTGATCAACCTTTGCTTACAACTAAATCAAAACAAGAGAGCATATGGTGTTTTAATTAGATAAATAAAAATTTGAATGATAATATACAAGATAAGTCTAATTAAATTTTTTTATATCAATATCTATTATCATTTTTATTTAATTTTAGTGCAGAAATTCAAATGAACAAACACTCCCAAATGGAGGTAGCAGGTAAAGCTTACTCCGTATTTATAAAAAATAGAAAAAAAGTTCATATAACTAAGAAGTACGGACTATTTATTAAAAAGACGAATTGAAAACATTGTCCGTATAACATTGAAGTTTAGAGATTCAATAATTTAAAAAAAATCTAAAGTTTTCTTGGCGAAGAAAATTAAAGGGCGGTTCATGTGACATTGTCTCATAATATCATGAGATGAACCGGAGGTGCTACAATGCCCGGTTTGTTAAATTAACGATTTCTACTCTCTAACACCCTCGGTAAATCTCTCACCCCGCCTCTACTCAAACACGCCCCTCGCTCCCTTAAATTATAGCCGCCAAGCTGATTTTGACTTTGAAGCATAGCATGTTACAAGCATAACCTCGGGTACAAAATAAAATACTAATTCAATTCGTCATATGTTTCATTTGTGTGATTTATATTTTTAGTCTTTACGCACTCAATGGTTGGGATTGGTTGGTTAGTTGTGGTTTGGTTGCCGACTTGATGTTCATTTGAATCACAAAATTAAATTTGAAATTTCAATTGTGATGAATTTGTCTAAATTTTTTTGTGTGTTTATATTAGGAGCTTCAATTGCTAAAAGTGCAAAACATTACTCCCCTTCTAAATAAATCTCATCTTTGTCTTGTTAGAGCACTGGTAATACATGCAACGCCCCCCGGCGTGATGGGGCGTTTAACGCCCCGGGGGCGTGAAACACAGCCCCCCGCCGGGCGTGAAACGGCGTGATCGGGCCAGCGTGAAAGAAATAACGCTGCGTCATTCCATTCCCCTCCCCCCTAACGGCTGTAAAGCCGTTGCACCCCATTTAAAAAAAATTCTTATAAATTCAAACCCCGCTTTTTTTATTTAATGAATGTATTTTTTTATTATTCGTGTTTCAATTTAATTAAATAATAAATTAATTACATTTTATTAATTTAATTTTAGAAGATGTATATTTAAAAATGTAAAAAATAAAGGTTTGAAGCCCAGTTTTGAAGCTCCGGGGCTTCAAATCCATTTCCAATGAATTTTGGGTGTAAGTTAAAGGTGACGTAGCAGAGAAAGAAAGTTTGAAGCCTCGGTTTGAAGCCCCGGAGCTTCATAACCATTACCAGTGCTCTTAGAACTTCAACGTTTTTGTTTGATGGTAATCTTTCAATTCCAAAAACATAGTTTTATTTTTCATTTATTCAAAAAAAAATTCTTTAACTAAAATTTCACTTTTATATTCCAACTAATTAATAATATATCTATCACTCATATCTGTTGAATATAACATTCTACCATACAATTAAGGATAAAATTAGCAAGAAATACTAAAATTACACATTCTTAAATCTCGTTTCTTTTCAAAGTAGAAAAAAATTCTATGAGACCGAGATAGTACATACATAATTATCTTTTTTTGAGTAACAATTCATTGTCAAAATTCATAAAGGTGTGGTTTAGAATTTTGCTCTCTTCTACATAGATACTACTCCATCCATCCCTTAAGTTTGAACCTTTCATATTGATTTTCAAGGTCAACTATTTTAAATTTTGATTACAAATTAGAGAAAAATAAATTGAATTGTTTTTTTGAATATGCATGAAACTGCATCTCATGTAATAACTAGTCTCAGAGGTGAAATTTGGAACAAGAGACCAAGGATCGAGTGATTCCACCTTTTTTAAACAATAAAAGGTGAAGGATATAGCTATTGCATGCTTTTACTTTTGCCATTGTTTTGGTGCTTTACTTAGAATCCAACCCTAATTATTCTTTGTCTGTCTTTTGAAACCACCCACTTCCACTAAACCCGCCGCATGCAACATGCCTCGTCCGAGGCTAGTGATGACTAGTAGTGTACTACGTCTGATCTTTCCCCTATATATAGGAACACGCAAACTTAATTAAACAATATAATCCACGGGTGATTAATTAAATTAATTAAAAACGAGAGTTTAGAATAAGATAATTAATACCATACGAGTATATATGGAGAAACAACTTATTGTTTCCATCTTCGTGCTGGCGGCGGCGTTATGCCGCACGCCGGCGGCGGGAGCGCGCGGGAAGAACGGCGGAGAAGAATCATGGGCCAAAAGAGTGCACGTTCCGGCTGCCGGCGGCGGGAAAGAAGTGGTGACCAAACTGCAATTCTATTTCCACGACAAACTCAGCGGGTCGAACCCCAGCGCGATCCGTGTCGTGCAGGGCCCCGGCAATTACTCTCGCCGCGGTGCGTTCGGCACCATCACGATGGGAGACGAGCCGCTGACCGTCGGGCCGGACCCGAAGTCGAAGGAAGTAGGGCGCGCCCGCGGGCTGTACGGGTCCGCCGGGAAAGACGAGGTGTGCCTCATCGTGGCCATGAGCTACGGCTTCACCGTCGGAGACTACGCCGGGAGCTCTTTCAGCCTTCTGAGCAGCAACCACGTGCTGGACCCGGTTCGTGAAATGGCCGTGGTCGGAGGGACCGGTCTTTTCCGGTTGGCACGTGGATATGCCTTGGCCCACACCTATTCACTTGACCTCGCCACCGGTGATGCTATTATTGGCTACAACGTTACCCTTCTCACCCACACCCACACCCACATTTGAAATACGAGCTCACATAAAATTTGATATCTATCTCAAAAAAAATAATCAAATATATATTTAAGAGATAAATACAGATAATTGTAATTGTCTGTATATATTTATGCGTGGAAATGATATTTATACACCAAAAATTAAATCTACTCTATACTCTAAAGGCATGCATCAATATTTTGTACTAGTGTGATGCTTTACAATGACACAAAATGTTAGTCCAATTTTTTTTGATTGAAGTAACATTTTGTGTTAGTGTAAATCGTTAAAATACTGGTGCATTCTTCTAGAGTACAATTTGAGATGCACTTCTTGGTGTACCCTAGCATGGTTGATTATTAGAGGTGGCAATCGGATCAACCGGATCGGTTTCAGGTTCGATTTTTTCGATTCGGATATTTTTCGGTTATATGTTATAATCGGTTCGGTTCAGATTGGTTAAATTTTGGTTCGGTTTTGATTTCGGTTCTACACATTTTTTGGTTCGGTTCGGATCGGTTAAATTTCGGTTTGGATTTGATTTCGGTTCTACACATTTTTCGGTTCGGTTCGGTTCGGTTCGGTTTCGAGTCGGTTCAGATACGGTTCGATTATAAATCGGTTCGGATAGATTTCGGTTCGGATACAATTTGAGTCGGATATATTTCGGTTTCGGGTCTAGTTCGGTTCGGATATATTTCGGTTTCGGATCAAATATATTTTGGATATATATTATTTTCTAATTAAAATTTAACTATTCGTGTTTCTTTTTATGTTTTATCACATTTATCAATCTATCATCAATTCAATGCCTCATATTATTTTATATTTTTTTCTAGTTATATTATCTCTACCCTAAATAATCTTCCCTTTTTAACTTTTTAGTCATATTTTACAAATTTGGACTACAAATTATGAAAACATATATATTTAATTATGATATAAATTTAATATAATTAAATTGATTTTAAAATTTAGTTTTGAAATATCAAATCTTTCTCACATCTACTAATATTCTTATGTATATAAATGAAAGGATAAAAGATAAATTCAAATAGTTCTATGTTCCATTTGAATACAATTTGGTAAAAATTGAGTAAAATTGGGTGAAATTAAGTGAATTTTATTCAATTGAGTGCAAAATTTGTAAATTGTTGAGTATATTTGGTTGAAAATAGAGAAAATTAAATTTAATAGAGTCAAATATAATTAATTTTACACCTAAATGTAATGGTGTAGATCAAATTTGAAAATAATAACAGTAAAGACTGCCGCTACAGAGTCTTTTCAAAATGTTAACACTAGCATCTAACTTTATTGACTAATATTGAGTGAATTGGTTTGAAACTAATCAAATTAACTCTCAAATCAATAAAATATATGGTAATGAGATGAAATTAGGATAAAATCTAGTTATCCCATACAATTCATCATATATTCCTTTCGTTCCAAAAAGAATATCACACTTCACTGTTTAAAAATTACGGAAATTTTATTTGTTTGTGTGTTATCATTTATATGTATAACTTATCTTTACTTTCTACATATAATAAATTTAAGGCATAAAATTTTGTACTTTTTTCAAGAAGATAATCTATTTTATGAGGGAATGAGCAAGTAATGTAATTAGTTCAAATGGTAAAATAAAAGTAAAAAAATTAAAAATATTATATGTTTATTGAAAGGCAAACATAGTTATGAATTTATCGATTTTAGTTCTAATCGGGTTCGGATATTATCGTTTTCAGATCTAATCGGTTTCGGCTATTATCGGGTTCGGATCTAACCGGTTTCGGGTTTAATCGGTTCGGATATTATCGGTTTCGGATTTAAATCGGATATGAATTATTTAGTTCGATTTCGGTTCGATTCGGATCATTTCGGGTTTTCGATTATAGATCAGATCTTCATTTTTCGGATCATTCCGGTTTCGGTTTCAGATATTTCGGTTCAGATAATCGGTTCCGGTTCTATTTTGTCAGGTCTATTGATTATGCAATATATGTATAATATTAAAGTTTGATTACTATAAATTCCGGTGTTAAAATGCGACGGAGTACTTTTTTGAGTACTTTTTTTAAGAAAATCAATAATCTATTTTAGCTCGTTTAAAAAAAATTCTACCCTCGAATTTCTTATTTCTAATGTTAAACAAACTGTTATCTTTCAATAGTTTGAGCTTTTAATTTACTATGAGATGTGTGAATCATGTAGTTGAAGCTGATTTTTTGTTTGATCTTGTTTATTGGCGTGTTTGTCAATTTTTTTGTTAATTGTATTGCCCGTGATTTAATGATTTAATCTTTTGTTTCCAAAAAAATCTATCTTAGCTAGCTAGTGCCTGGTAATAATTGAAAATCAAATAAAGTACGTAGGGACTAGGGACCGAGTGTTTGTTAGAGGGGTGTGTTTGATTTTCTGTAGAGAGATTGTTTTTATTAATTACTTGGCCGGTCTTAGAGCTTGAGTGACATCAAGGCCACTGGGTATGCATGTAACGCCAGTGGGCGTTATTGCATTTTTAACGCCCCAGGGGCGTTAAACACCGCCTTCCTAGGGCTTCATCCGAACGTTATATGCATTGCGTCAAACTTATAACGGACGTTTTGCCCTATTTTCTTCAAATTAAAAAAAAATCTTCCTCTAAACAACCACAAAATATTTTCCTCTTCAATTTTTTTAAAAAAAATAAAACTCACAAACAAAATCTTTTTTCTTTAATTTTTTTAAACTAAACACCCACAAAATCTTTTCCTCTATCTTCTTCAAATTAAAAAAAATATTCAATTTTTTTCATCTTTTTAACATGAATCTCTTCATTTTTGATGTTCCTTTGTCCGGTCTCGAGTCAAACGACCAAACGAATATAATTTTCTTTTGAGAGCAGACATAACGAGATCAAACCTAAATATAATTTGTTTTAATTTTTTAATTAATGTAATTTTTTAATTAATGTAATTTTTTAATTAAATGTTCATTTTTTAATTAATGTAATTTTTAAATTATTTTTTTAATGAATGTAATTTTTTTAATGCACTAGTCTCATTGCGATTAATTTAAATAATAAATTAATTTAAATTTATTAATTTAAATTTAGAAGATGTATATTTAAAAATGTAAAAAATGAAGGTTTGAAGTTCCAGTTTCAAGCCCCGAGGCTTCAAACCCATTTCCAGTGAATTTCTGGTGTAAGTTAAAGCTGACGTGGCAGAGAGGGCAGAGAGAGAGAGAGTTTAAAGCCCCGGGACTTCATTCGTATTTCCAGTGTTCTAAGATCACTTATTGGAACACTTTCAAGTCATCCCATGACATGGGGTTGCAATGTCATAGTAATCCCACTGTTAATTAATTAGTGTAAAATGGATTAATTAGTGTAAAATGGACTTTGCACTCCTAACCGAGGAATCGACGGAAGTGACCCACTCAATAAATTAAATTTAATTTGAAGCATCCCATGAGTAATTTCTAAAAAAGTGAGACCTGGCCGTCATAAATTGAAGGTATCTGAGAGTCATTTTTTGTTTACAATGATCCCAAATCCTCCCTGTTCCAACTCCTGTCACATCAGTATTCTACTAACTTTTTCGCGCCGCTCCAAAGACCGTCTGTAGTGGGCGGCCGGCGCGAAAATCAGCCGCGGCTTTACGCCACGTTGAGGGCGAGCGCAGCGGCAGAAGTGCTGCCGCGGTGGGCGTGCCACGATCTTGACTCGGAAGACGTGCGGCGCTGCGGATTGAGGGTCGCCGCAAATGCCCTTAAGATTGTGGACTAAGTTTTATTTTAATTTAATATTATTAAAGTGAAATTAAGATAAAATTTCAAAACAAAATTTATTTATTCAAAAATTATATGTGTGTGTGTGTATAATGTATGTAATCACTATTGTGCCAAAAAAAATGTATGTAATCACTACTTATTCAAAATTGATTTGAAAAAATTGTTTTGGGGATTGACTCCCAATAAATTAAAAAACAAATTTTTTTTTACACTTAACGGAGTCCGAACCCTTCCGGCAGAGATCGGTGGAGTTTCTACCCCGCCCAGCCGCCGGCATCCGGCTCCAAAATCGACCATTGCTATATACATATAGCAGATGCATCTCTCATAGTGACCTTCTGCGCGCGATGCCGTATCTCCCACCGCAAGCTCGCATTTTCTCAGTCAAACCCGGCTCCGATAACCTCAAGCGCCGCCCTTGTCTCGTCCAGAAAATCATTGATCTGTGTTCCCAAGGCCATTTCCAACGAGCCGTTGATTCTCTGGACTCGTTAGCTGATAAAGGCCTGCGTTTGGACTCCAAAACTATAGCTTTTCTCCTACAAAAGTGTGCCGATTCGAAATCCATTGCACCAGGGAAATGCGTACACCTCCATCTCAAACTCACCGGTCGGAGACACCCAAACACGTTCATAGCCAACCATTTGATCAGCATGTACAGCAAGTGCGGCGATCTCGTCAATGCACGCGAGGTGTTCGATAAATTGAGCGTGAGAAATTTGTACTCTTGGAACGCGATGCTCTCTGGGTATGCTAAACTGGGCATGACGAAGGCTGCCCGAGATCTGTTTGATGAAATGCCAGAGAAAAACATGATTTCGTGGAACGTCATGGTCACTTCCTATGCGCAGGGTGGTTATTTGGAGGAAGCTGTCAACTTCTATAGGGAGTGGAGGGTATCGAGTTCGGGGATCGACGAGTACACCTTTGCTGGGGTTGTCACTGTTTGTGTCAAGGCCAGGGAGTTAAATCTGACCAGGCAAGTCCATTGTCAGGTGTTGGTTGCTGGATTTTTATCCAATTTGGTCCTCTCCAGCTCAATTCTTGCGGCGTATGCTTCATGCGGAGAAATGGGAGACGCTACCAGGTTGTTTGGTGCAATGAGAAGCAGGGATGTTGTCACTTGGACCACTTTGGTCGCCGGATATGGGAACTGCGGAGACATGAAATCAGCCAGAGAAGTGTTCGACATGATGCCTGAGAAGAACTCGGTGTCTTGGACTGCTTTAATGGACGGTTACGCGCGAAATGGGTTCTGTAATGAGGCCATTACAGTATTTGCAGAGATGAGGAAGCATCAAGTCGCACCCGACAGGTTTAGTTTCAGTGTTTGCATGTCCGCTTGTGCCAGTATACCATCACTTAATCTTGGAAAACAAATTCATGCACTTGTGATAGTAACTGGGTTCAGACCAACCGATACAACTGTATTAAGGTGTCTCGTCGACATGTATTCAAAGTGTGGAAGTTTGGAAGACGCGCAGAGGGTGTCTGATTTTATGGGGAGCACACACAATGTCGCATCCGGAACACAACATTGTTATGTTAAGGAAGCAACGTAGCATACCAAGAGGAGATGTTAGATC